AATCCCCAAAGCTGCCTCTTCCCTGCCAGATCACCAGCACCGCCCCTTCACCCTCTGATCCTCTTCCCTCTTCCCTGTAGTATTGCTTTCCCTACTTCTCATGTGTGGGGCCAGCTAGGAAAACAGGAGTGACATCCAGGCACTGGAGTTTTCTATTTCCTTATTGGTCCTTCCCTGTTCATCCGTTTTTATGGTTAATACTTGGGAGAATATTCGCTATGATGAGCAAATATTCAGTGTCTTGGGTTCTGAAGTCTTGTCCACGTGTGAAAACACTGTCTTAGAGAGAGACAAGTTCCCACACGGAGCCTGGTCCCTTGGTCTGGCCCTCTCTAGGGTTAGGCTTTAGGAGGTGCCAGCCCTCTGCTAAGCCCATTCAATAAACTTGACATTCTTTACCTGGAAATCTTGTTTCTTCCTACCCCACCCCATCCACGAAGCATCATGAAACAGTGGAAAAGGCAGAGTATTTGGAGTCAGAGGACCTGAGTTCAAATCCCAGTTCTGCATCTGGTTCTCATAACTATCGGACCACCCCTTAGTCTCCTTTGACAAATCCTCATCCAGATCACATGCTATAACTGTAAATGTCCCACAGGACTCTGTCCTCAGCCCTCTTCTCTTCTCTCTCTATAATGCTTCACTTGGTGTTCTCATCAGCTCTCATGAATGTAATTACCATCTATGTACTGACAATTTTCAAATCTACCCACCTTGTCCTAATCTCTCTTGCTGATCTCTAATCTCACATCTCCAACTGCTGGATGTATAGTAGACATTTGTGACTCAACATGTCCAAAACCAAATTCGTTAACTTTTCCCCTAAACCCTCCCGACCTCCTACCTTCGCTATTACTGTAGAAGACAATACCATCCTCCCAGTCTCTCAGACTCAAAACCTAGGTGTCATTGTAAATGCCTCACTATCTCTCACCTCTCATATCCAACCTGTTGCCAAAGTCTGTTAATTTAACCTTTTCAGTGTCTCTCAAATACTCCCCCTTCCCTCCTCTGACTCTGCCACCACCCTGGTGCAGGCCCTCATCACCTCACTGATACACCATTGCAATAGGCTCCTGGCAGCTAGGTGGAGCAGTGGATAGAGTGACAGGCCTGGGGGTCAGAAAGACTCATCTTCCTCAGACACTTGCTAGCTATGAGACCCTGGGCAAGTCACTTAACTCTTAGTTTCCTCATCTGTAAAATGAAATGGAAATGGCAAACCACTCTAGTATCTTTGCCAAGAATATCCCAAACGGGGTCACCAAGAGTTGGACACAATTGAACAACAGAATTGCCAGTGAGTCTGCCTGCCTCAAATCTCTCCCCACTCCAATCCATCCCCCATTCAGCCACCAACATGATTTTCCTAAAGGGCAAGTCTAACCATGTCACCCCCTTATTCAATGGCTCCCTATTGCCTCGAGGATCAAATATGGAATCCTTTATTTGATATTTCATAACCAAGCCCCCTTATAACTTTCCAGTCTTCTTATATCTTACTCTATACCACATACTCTTCAATCTAGGGACACTGGCTTCCTTGCTATTCCATAAACAAGAACCCTATCTCTTGGCTCCGGGAATTTTCTCTATCTCCCATGCCTGGAGTGCTCTCCCTCTTTATCTCTGCCTGCTGATTTTCTTTAATCCCAACTAAAATCTCATCTTCTACAGGAAGCCTTTCCCAACCCCTCTTAATTCTGGTGCCTCCCTCTTAATTTTTTCCCTATTTATCCTGTACATAGCTTGTTTGTACATATCTGTTGGCTTGATGTCTCCCCTATTTGATTGTGAGCTCTTTGAAGGCAGAGGCTGTCTTTTGCCTCTTTTTGTATCCTTAACATATAGCAGATGCTTAAAAAAATGTTTATTAACAGACAGACAGACTATGGCCTATAGCTTTGGGCAAGTGACTGTCTCTGAGTTTCAGTTTCCTCATCTCTAAAACAAGGGCATTGAAAGCAACCTCTACAGTCCCTTCCAGCTACAAGATCTTTGTGCCTATGAGCCACGAGCCTGGCGCTTCATCCTGTGCTGCCTTAACACATGACAAACACAGAACTAAACCAGGCCCTCCCTCCTTGAGCTCATCTCTTGCCAAGTCCCAGCCAACCCTTTTTCTGTTCTACTCCCTCAGTTACAACTACATTGCCCGCTGCTTCCAATGTCTTTTGCCCAGGCTGCCCTCTCTATTGTCTGTTGTGCTTTTACATCGAAGGTGAAACAAACTACCACCTCCTTCTGCCTACCATATCCTATAGCTCTTCTCCATTGCATTGCGACTGAAGGCTATTTCCTCCAAGAAGTCTTCCTGATTTATTACTTGTTTGTTCTCCAAGCTATCAGCAACCTCTAACTCATCCTTTCCCTTCCCGCTATGCTTCTGGCAAGTCCAAAAAAAAAACCCACTCTTACAAAATAATCTTCTAACTAAATATATAAGTTTCTGATAAAAACCCTTAGAGTTCTTCTGATTGGCCTCAGAAGGCACAATAGGCGGGAATTACAGAGACAGATTTCAGCTATATGTAAATAAAACCTTCCTAACCCTTGCACAAACTGGGAATGGGCTTCCTTGACTGAGAGTGAGCTCCCCATCACTACAGAGATGTTCAGGTGGAGGCTGGAAAGTGTTGAAAGTATTCCTTTTCAGGTACGTGTTGGACCAGATAACAACTGAGGTCTTTTTTTTTTTTGTGAGGCAATCAGGGTTAAATGACTTGCCCAGGGTCACACAACTAGTAAGTATCATGTGTCTGAATTCAAATTTGAACTCAGGTCCTCCTGACTCCAGGGCCAGTGCTCTATCCACTGCACCACCTAGCTGTCCCTTGTGGTCTCTTTTAACTGTGATTCTGTGATATTATGGCTCAGATGATACAAAGGACCTCATATTTAGAACTGGAATGGGCTTTAGAAGTCATCTAGGTCCCTCATTTTGTAGATGAATAAACGGAGGCCCAGAAAGGTTAAGTGATTTTCTCAGACTTTGTGTGATATCAGAGGACAGAGTCTGAGGACCTAGAGCATAGTGCAGTACCTGGTGCACAGTAGGCACATAATAAATGTTTACTGAATGACTAACAAGAAAAGAACAGACTTTACAACCACTGTTGGCAAAGCAATGAATCATCTCTTACCACCTCTACCTCTCCAACCCCAATTCTCTCTAGAGGCCTGCTATTCACTCATCTCAAAGCCATGGTGGGGGGAGGGGAGGGGAATTGAGATTGAGTCTCTTGGTGTGTTTCCTTAAATTCTACCCTGCCTTGATTTTGGACATAGGATGCACACTTGCTGGCCTCTTGGTGCTCCTCATCTCATCTTGCAACACCTTTCCACACAGCCCCCGAAGTTCAGACTGGTTCACATCTGTGATCTGAACACAATCTGTGATGGGCTCAAGGTCCTGATTCTTCCTCACATTATAAAAATAGCTTACATTCCTCCAGTGAGATCAGCAGGGCAAGTATGATGATTCCCATTTTACTAATCAAGAAACGGAGACCTAGGAAAGTCAAGTAAATTGCTGAGGATCACAAGAGGCATCCAAAGCTTGATTAAAATTGAGAACTTTTGGCTCCAGAACCAGTGCTATATTGGATGCTGCTTCCCTGAAGACCCCCTAGATCTTAACACACACCCCTTCCCCATCTAATTTCCTTGCCTGGGCACTGGGTTCTCCACCGTCCACCTGTTCTCACCTTCTACCGCTACCCAATTCAACTAACTCCTTGAGGTTGAGGAAGGAAGGGCACTGGACTGAACTACACCTGGGCTCTGTCTCCCTACCAGTCCTCTCCCCTTCCTGTAGATGTGACTTTCCAGACAAGGCACACCCAGTAAGAAAGCCTAGGTACAGCAGTTAGCCTGGGAATGAGAGTCTGAGGGCACGTGGCAACAATCCCTAGAACTGACCCAAACGCCTTTCTGAATTTTAGAGGAATCCTCTGCAGGGGTCTAGAGGGAGGGAGGCCAGCAGGCGGGGAAAACCATCCTTCTGTTTATAAACCCCCCTCTCTCACCCTATTGCCCCTGGAGTCTCCCCAACCTACCAGAACCCAGATCCCATTTTTCACCGCCCCCTCCTTGCCCCCTAGCCGCCCTCCCCCAATCTCCCTGCCTCCTACAGACAGACTCAGCCAAAATACGAGGCTGGGGGAGGCTGCGTCCCCTGCAGCTCCAGGACATAGCCTCTGCTGGCCTTCCATGGCCCGCTTCTGTCTCTCCGCAGCTGAACGGTGAGAAAAAATGTTCCGATCCCTTATCGACCACCTCCCCGCTCCTACCCCGCCCCTCGGACTCCCAGCTCACAGACACCTCCCCCTCCCCCGGCCAGAAATAGATTTCTCTCTTGCTAGCTTGCTCGCTCGCCCTCTCGCGCTCACTCTTACCTCCCTCCCTTTCGTCTTTTCTTTTTTTTTTAAATCCCCTCCCCTCTTCCTCAGCTCCGATCCCTGAGCATCTCTCCCCGCGGCAGCAGAGGCAAGCAGAGGGAGGGCGCTGGCCCCGGGTGTGAGGGAGCCGGGGGCTGACAGCGCACGGAGCAGCAGCAGCTGGGAGAGCCAGCCTCGGTCGCGGCCAGGCTTGAAAAGCCCAGTCCTCACCGTGCGTCTGCCTGCTGCGGCAGCGAATTCAGAGTGGCTGAAGGGCTGGGTATCTCTTTCCAACCATCTTTTTATTTATTTTTATTTTTGTTTCTCCCCACTCCACCCCTTTCTCTTCCCCACCCTTTCTCGCTTTCTCCCGCCTTCTTTTCTTCTATCTCTCCTTTCCCCCCCGTTTTTTCTTTCTTCCCTTTCCTTCCTTCTCTTCCTCCTCCTCCACATTCCCCCTTGCTCGTCTCCGTTCTTCCTTTCCTTTTTCTTCTTTCCTCCCCCTCTCGCCTCTCCTCGGGGCCCCTTGGTTCTCTCCCTCCCTCCTCTCTCTTCTCCCCTCTTTCTCTTCTTATTCCTCCTCCTTCTATTCCTCCTCCTCTTCTCCTTTCGTGATTCCAGACGCCCGAATCTTCAATGCGTTCCTGGCGGGCAGGATGCTGGGCACCTCCCTCAAGAGCCTGCAACCCGATGTGGAACTGAGCGGTGGTGAGGGCTCTGAAGAGCTCAGGGGCTTCGGCAAGAAGGCAGGCGAGAGCAAAAGCATGATGCCCAAACGCGCCAAGCCTCCCGGCAGCGGGGTGGCCAAGGCCAGCGCCGGAGAGCTGAAGGTCTTCAAGTCTGGCAGCGTGGACAGCCGGCCTCCTCCGCCGCCGGCTTCCAACCTCCGCAAGCAGAAGTCCCTCACCAACCTCTCCTTCCTGACGGACTCAGAGAAGAAGATGCAGCTCTACGAGCCCCAGTGGAGCGATGATATGGCCAAGACACCTAAGGGCTTCAGCAAGGGGGGGCCCAAGGGTCGGGAGGCACCCCTCATGTCCAAGACACTCTCCAAATCGGAACATTCACTGTTTCAGGCTAAGATGACCTCTGGTGGGGTAGCCAAGCCCCCGTTGGCCCCTCTGGCCCCGGGCCTGGGCAAACCCAGCCGAATCCCCCGGGGTCCCTACGCTGAGGTAAAGCCCCTCAGCAAGGCCCCTGAGGCGGGTGTCAGCGATGACAGCAAGTCCGACGACGAGCTTCTGTCCAGCAAGGCCAAGGTGCAGAAGGGGGCACCACCACCACCCGCTGGCAAGGGCCAGGAAGAGCGAGCCTTCCTCAAGGTAGATCCCGAGCTTGTAGTGACTGTGCTGGGAGACCTGGAGCAGCTGCTTTTCAGCCAAATGTTGGGTGAGTGCCTTGACTCTCTCCTCTCTCAACCCCTACTGCCTTACTGTTCCTTGTGTTCAGTTGGGGAGTTGTATCTCGAAGTTTTGGGGAATGAGGGAGGCTGCCACCCCCTACACTCCCCAGGGGTATCCCAGAGAAGGTCTGGTTGTGGTGCTCCATCAGGGATGGTTATAGGGGGGCTGCTCCCTATATTCAGTGCTAAGGTCACTGGTGCCCGATGTGCAATGTTGACATGACACCCCTCCCCATCTGTAGAATGGGATTGGAACCTGAACTAGCTGTGCTCCGGCTTCCCTGAGAAGTGAGATTTGGGGATTAGAGGAAGAGAACAGTGAGAAGCCTTAGGGAAAGAGGGGTCTGGAGAGGTGAGACAGGGAGTGGCTGTGTTTTGGAAGGGGTGGGGGAGATTCCCCACTTCCTCCTGCCGGCATCTAGTGTAAGCTAGTATAATTTCCAAGGCACTGGGAGTTGGGCTTCGACTCCAAGTAATAAACTCTGCTGATGTGGACTTAATTCTCCTCCTTCCATTCCTAGCCCTATTTTCTTTAAGGCTGGTGAAAGGGCTGAGATTTTCAATGGAGCTTTTTCCTCCTTTGCCGAGGAGTTGGGCCTTTAAAGAAAACAAGGAAGCAGGCAGAAGGAGGGAGTGTGGACACAGCCCCTGATGGCTTAGAACAATGCTTTCTTTGGCAAAGGAAGAAGAGAGATAGGCTCTATTGTTCTCCTAGCCCAAAGTGTCAATTTTTAAAAACCTAAAGCACTTTGCTTGGGGTGGGGGTGGGAGGAGGGGAGGGAGCCGATTCCTGCAGCATGGGAGTCAGGGATGGGACTTGGGGGTCAGTCAAGTATGGCAATGCACCCCATATGGAGGAAGGGTGAGTGAGGCCTGGGCATGAGAGAGGTTAGTGCAAGTAGAATGAGTAGCAAGGCAGATTCTTGGAGGTCAGGTCTTACTTCCATTGCAAAGAGACTTATCTTGGTACTGGGTGCTGATATCCCTAGGGTGGGGGACTGGGGGGAAGAGAGGAGGTGTGCCCACACTCCTGCGTAAAGGGGAAGGACTAAATATGGGCTGCTATCTGAGTGACAGGGATGCAGCAGGAATAGGGAGGGGATTCAGGCTGGAGAAGGGGGGACTTGGATTCACCCCACCCCCTTGCAGATCCTCAAGGTAATCCACTTGACCTCTCAGTCAGGGAATCACCTGCCCAGAGGCAAGGGGGATGGATTCAGTGACTTCTAGCTATCTCCATGGGACTTTCGAACAAGAAGAGGGTACCTAAGAATAAGGGAAGGAGAGTATTAGATGGACAAGAGCCAATCTGTTTCTTTTCCTGTGACCTTTCCACCTGCTGCTCACCACGCTCATGTTAGAGAAAGACAAGCACTGATTGGATAATGGCCTGAGTCCTAATTATGGAGATTCAGAGAAGGCACTGGGCAGGGGTATCTGCAGAACAGTGGCAAGGGGGAGTGGTTTCCTGCCCTTTTAGCGATGGTGTTGGTATGTCTGCAGATGCCAAGAGAAAGTAAGGTATGCAGCTATAGCAGGTATTGCTGAGAAGTACTAGGTGATTGATGAGATGAGCTAGCCCTCCCCCACCCACCCCCTATTGCGGGCTAATGTGATGACTCAACAGATCTGGCCTCAAATCTGTACTCTCCCCCCCCAAAAAAAAATTGTCCAGGAGGACAGGTCTCCAGGATATCTCCCATCGCACTGCCAGAACTGAAGCCCATTCAATTTCTATGATGAGGGAAGGCAACTGGTAATACCACTCAAAAATGGATTGAGCTTGGGAAGGTGCCTAGAAATAAGAGGGGGGAGGAGGAGATGCACACCTGTATGTCTGTATAGCACTTTTAGGTTATCAGAACACCTCTAAATACATCATCTCTTGTATTTCTCACGATAGCCCTATGAGGTGCACAGGGTAGGAATATATTCTTTGTTCTCCTTTTTCAAAACTAAGAGCTAGGAATTAAGTGGTGCCCAAGATCACCCAGCAGAGCCAGGAGAGCCCAGATCTGCCTCCTGCTCTAGCTTCTTTCCAGACCAGATTTTGGAAGGCACAAGAAGGGAAACTACAAAGACAAAGATGATTAAGGCAGGAAAGCCTAGATTTGCACAAGGAACAGCCATCTCCCCTGCACCCCCCAGGGCAGAGGGGTTGCTGAATTTGTTCAGAGGGAAGTGCCCCTCCCCAGGAGCAGAACTCTGGTTCATCCTAACTTTGTCCTAGGCTCGGCACAGGTGTGCTACCATCTACTAGAGGTCAATACTGATTTTCTCATTTGCTAGTACCCACCCACTCCCAAATTACTTTGAATATATTTTACATTTATTTAGCTGGGTTCATGATATTTTCTCCCATGTAAGCTCCTTGAGCTTAGGGAGTATATCATCCTTATCGTTGCATGGACAGCACCTAGCACATAGTAAGGAATGAATGAATGAATGAGTGAATGAATTAATTAATAAATGAAAGAGTGAAGAGGAGAAAAGTGATCATTTATTGTTCCCAATCAGAATAAGGGACTATTCTGTTAGCAAGCTAAGGAGTAACTGCAGGGTAATGCCAGGTTCTGAAGCTGAGATAGGGGAAGGAGTTTCTGGATATGAGAAGCCAGTGTCCCCAAAGCAATGCTTCATGTCCTCCATTGTAGGAGGAAGAAAAGGAGAGAATGAAGGGTACAATTAGGGGTCAGCCTGTATCCCATGAGGGTACTGCAAGTATCTAAGATAGAAGCCCTACTGAAGAGCATGCTGAGGGTAGGGTGTGAAGTTTGGGGTCCAGAATTCCAGTGCTTATGAAGTTGGTTATTATTTCCCTCATCCTGAAAAGCCAAGGTTGAGTTCTCAGGCCAAGAACCTGACAGCAGCCAAGTAATAAGGTCTGGACTGGGTTACTAGGACAGCAGGCACCAAGTGAGAGGCTTTCTGGAATGAAAGGGAAAAGTGGGGCTGAAATCTGATCATTCTCTTCCCAGGAATCAGCTGGGGCCCAGATGCATAAAGGATTGCTCCCTCAGTCACCTTGAAATCAGCCAAATTGTTAGCAATCCAGCACTGGGAAAAATCCTGGGAAATTTGAAGTTGGGAAACGGAGTGAGGGGATGCAGAAACTACCCCACTCCAACAGGATTTTGGATTCATGACATTTTATGAGACAGTTTGGCTCCAGGGAAGAGATGGGGGCACTGAGGCCTTGCCTAAGACAAGACCAAAGACAAAATCCCCTGTGCCAACATACTGTGTGACCTAGCTTAGTTATCTGAAAATTAGGAAAAGCCCCTCTCATCTCTCTCTCTCTCTCTCTCTCCCCCCCCACCCCCAATCTCTCTTTCCCTCTCTCCCTCATAGGGTGGGAACAAAGACCTGAAAAACACCCCAACTCTCTGGAAAAGAAAGTGGAGACATATATTGACTATTAATAAATGATGGTTAAATATTAATGCTGTTGACAGTGTGACTCATAATATTTTTCCTACCTTAATGTTTAGGGCCAAAGCAAGTTCAATTCCTTATGCTTCACTAAACATTCCACCTGCAGGCAAACTCAGCAAATGGGAAAGCTGAGGGTAACTCAAGTTCAGAGTGTGGACATCCAGGAACTTGGACATCCGGACCCATTCCCTCACAAGAAGGACCTTATGGGTTTAGGGTTGCCATGGCAACATCTTTGTGGTCAGGAGACCAGGTCAAAATCCAGTAAACAAGGATGGCCATGTCTGTCTAGGTTTGAAGATCATTTTCTAAGCTCTTTGAAAAGTCATTTTCATTTTGCATACCAGGGAAAATTTGCTTTGAAATGTCCTGGGTTGATGAAAGGAGAGAGAACTTCAGAAAGGTTAATTTTTGCTTTTCTAAGCTTGAAAACAGGGACTAGGTTTTTTTTTGTTTGTTTGTTTGTTTTTTAAATAGGGTGTTGTTGGTTTTTTTTGTGGAGAGTGGGGTTGTGTTTGTCTTGTTTTGTCTTTCTTTGTATCTCCAGTGCTTATTGAAGTACCTGGCACATAGTAGTTACTTAATAAATGCTTACTGATAACTTTTATCTAACCAGCAGTGTGGCCTAATGGATTGAGAGCTGGCCTCAGATTTAGGATGCCATGGGCTCAAGTACTACTTCAGAAGCACATAGTATGTGACCCTGAGCAAGTCACTTACCACCTCAATGTTCTAGGCAAGTCTTGTGACTTGTGACTTGCCCAAGGACACACAGGTAGTAGGAAGGGGTAAAGTCAGGATCTGATCCCAGCTCTTCCTAATTCCAAATACAGCATTCTTTCCACTGGGTCACTCTGCCTTGCCTCTCAGCCCTCGGAGGAAAATGAGGCAAAGAAAATGAGTAATCTGTACACCCTAATTTGGCAGATGATAGCCCTCAGACCCAGAAGTCCTAGATGAACTGAGTTCTACCTCTGTAATTCTTTGTAAGTGAGGCCACCTTTGATTTGTCTGGTGTACTACATGGAGCCTTGAAGAAGAATTGCTGAAACTGACTGTCCCTAGACTTGCTATGTGACCTTGAACAAATCTCTGTTTCTTTGGGATGCTGTAGCTAATGGATGAGGTGTGGAGAGGTACGATGGTAGCATAGTAATAATAACTTCCATTGTGATAGCCCTTTAAGGTTTACAAAGCACTAAGTACTTATAAGCTACTCAAAAGAATCATTTTTCTAAAGAAAATTGACGCTATTTAGGCTCCTACCTTGGGGTTAATGCTGAGGGATATGTTTCTCATGATCCTTTTATTAGCTGTCTATAGCTTATGTCCTCTCAAAAGCCCTGCATTTATATAGCTCAGGATGACAGTGGGCAGGATGTCCTTTATCTGATTCATCCCTTTGGTCAACATCATGCCTAGAGAAGCTATAGGGAGAGATTGGCCTACCTCCAAGCTAGTCTAGTTCTCCTGCTATGGTTTATATATTCTTTGGAGAGAAATTCATAAGATCATAGGATTTAGAATTGGAAGGGAAACAGGCCCAGAGAGG